CCTGTTGCCTGATCGATGGAAGATTCTTTTCAGATCTCGTTGCCATTGATGTTTGATTTTAAGAAAATTCTTTATTTTATCAGAGTATGGTAGGCTTTTATCCTTCAGTTCGATTTTCTGTGAATGTATTTCGTGTACGTTTGTGAACTGGTTGTTAAAATCACTGATTACTCCATCAATTTCATCATTCTCCAGAGTTCTGTTGATAGGAGGCATCAATTCATTCGAAACAATGTCCAAATCCCGGCGAAAGTTGCGCCAGTTGGTGGTTTTATATGATGTGAAATATTGAGGTGAAGTTAGAGATATATCTAGACCTCCAAATTTGATTTCGAGTTTAATTGGGAAATGATCAGAGAATGTGGGTTTTGTAGATATGATATAGTTTGGATCATTTCTATTAATCAAATTTGCGCTTAGAAGAAAATGATCCAGAAATGACGAAGCATTTGGATATGAAGGGCAAGTGTCAGATAATCGTGTTACCTCAATTGAATTTACATCTAACCAGGTCCGCAGAACTTTACCATTTGAATTTTCGTAGGTATCACCCCAATTTGGACTTTTGCAATTTAGATCGCCTCCCAGGATAAATCCATCAAAATTTCTGGACAAGTGGATTAGCTTAGACAGATCTGCTTCGAATCTTTGAACAGGATAACTGCATGGAATATATATTGATCCAATTAGGTATTTTTTGGATGAGTTGTTTGTTATCATTTCAATATTTATGAATGTGGTACACACGCCTATGTCGGTTGAAGATACCCTTTCAAATTTAATTGAATTCTTGATGAATATTCCAACGCCAATGGATGAGTTGTCGTAAACAAAAGTGTACCCACCTAACTTTACCCGTCTGTTGGATCTCAAGTGACATTCTTGAATGAATGCTACATCAATGTTGTTGTGTTGCAATATGTATTTCAACTCTAGCTGGCGACTTCGATCCACAAGTGATCGCACATTGAATGTTAAAAAGTTTAGAGATCTATGATCCATAATTAGATTTCACTTTTTTTAGAAGCAACAGAAATTGTTTTTTTGCTTCAATCTTTGGCATGTTTTTATATTCTCTTAAGAAAATCTGGACTTCTTGCTCCAATGTGAGTTCCTCGGGCTCTAAAAACAAATTGGCGAGCTTGAGAAAATCTTCAATGAACTGAGGTTTTTGATTGCTTCCCTGCTTGGTTGTGGGAGCCGCATTAAAAAAACTGGAAAACGTTTTCCCGGGTGAAACCATATTCATGTTTAGGGCTCTTGCGACATTGTTTTGCGCCGCTACTTTATCCTCTATTTGTTTGGCCATGGTTTTCTTTCTCGCTGTGGCATAGCTTTTATATGAGGGACAACCCCTCCAGTTTGTGGGATGCCCGGTTTGTTTGCAGTTGACACAATACGGCTCAGATGTATCTGCGCGTTTCCTTTTACATTCCCCTGGAAGATGTTTTTCATTGCATTTCATGCAGTTGTACATAAAATTGCAATTGCGAGAAATGTGTCCCCAACGCTGACACCTGTGACATTGAATGTCATTTGCCTTCTTCTTTGGCTTCTCCCAGGTTATGGACTGGAATTGTAGCTCACGAATATGGGTGAGTTCTCCAAATTTCTTCCCTGGAAGTAATGATACTAAGAAAAGGCCAGTATCAAAGCCATTTTTTGTGGAGGCCGCTGTTTTAAATTTTGTGACATTGGCTACTGTATTTGGAACCAATTTATCCAATTCTTCTTTTATGTCCTCGGCATTATAATAAGAGTATAAGCCACGAATAATCAATGATACTTTTTTGTCTTCTTTTGGAGTAAAAGAATAAGAATTTATGTTTTTGGCTTTCAATATTGCCATCATTGATGCATGTACTTTCGGATCAGCAAAGTATAGCTTGCTTTTATTTTTGTTCATGTTTTTGATTTTGAAGACAAAATTTGGGATAGATGATTTTAAGGTCTCTACAAGAGCTTTGATGTTGACGTTAAAAACAAAGATTGGTGGACACCATGTAATTTTTGATTTGGGGTTAACATCTTTCACTTTGTTGGGATTTGTGTTGCTGACGGGAGTAGGAACCTCAATGTCAATATCAGCTAATGCTCCTAAAATGCCAAATTTATTCTGATCTTGGGGATTATAGTTTGATAACCTCTGAGCAAGATCTGATACGTCAATATTGATTGGAGATGCTGCGCCATCAATACGCTGCCTTTTGCGCTCATTTTGTTTAATGGGTTGTGTTTGTTTGTTATTGTTTGCTAACGCCGGTAAAGTAGATGTGGAAGTTAAAGCTATAACTTCCGTGACATCATGATCCATGTCATATGGAATAGTTTCAGGTTCCTCCATTGCAATATAATGCAAATTTGGAGCCTGTAGGACTTGTTTTGTTTAAAGGAAAACACGATATTATAAATTATTTTTTTTTGGTTGAATTTTACGTCTTATAACTTCTAACGTTGCCACCTTTTCCCGTACTGCAAGAACCTACTAGATTTTACTATCTCCTTCGATAACATAAAGGAAAAATCGTTATCGTAGTAAAATCTAGCATATTCTTGCAGTACGGGAACATCCCATACAAGGTGTATTTAATAAGGTGTATGCATCAGATACAACAACAAATATTTTACAAAAACAACATTGTTGTTATAGAAATTAAATTGTCATGCTGACAATAAAGGGCTAAGCAGAATGCTCGCGTTGAGCCATCCGTTGCGTTATGTGTTATCGAAAATACAACAACCACAAGGAAACGATAACACAAACGCTCGAAGCTGTTGTGCGCTGCGCTTCGGAGTTAAATATATTTTAACTTTTTGCGTGCTTTAACGCGATAACAAAAAACGCTCAACGCGAACATTCTGTTTAGCCCTTAAAAGTTTTTGATAAAAATAAACAAAAACAATTATTAATTTATTTTTGTCAAGAACTATTTTTTGGGGAATAATTAATGAATTTGTGTATTCTTGGGTTATTAGCGGTTTTAGGTCAGTGAAAAATAAAGTTTAAGACCTGGTCGCGATTAATTTTAAGTTTCCCTCATGGCTTCTTGTGATGTTGTTTATATTGGGAATTACAGTCTATTTTTTTATGGAGTGGCTTAAAATCTTGCCTTCTTAAAGAAAATTGAAGAACATAAATCCCCGAACATAAATGACCGTATAAAATCTTTCCAAAGGCGTATTTAACCTCCGCCGAGGATTGTGACAAGCACCAAGGGGCCGATTCCAATATAACTGGAATTTTATGATTTATGGACAGATTTCCACACATAACATAAAATATGTGGACCAATCGGCGAACGGGGTTATAACTGATTTAATATTTGGTTTCCTCTCATAGAGGCGGACCTCTATGAATGAAGTTTTCTTGAATTTTTATTATTAAAAAGCCTAAATTTAAAGACCATTTTTGAAATCGAAATGTTATTGAAAATGTTTTTGACAATTTACTTTACAAACAAATAGGAAAAAAGTTTGAAACCATATGATTGTCACTTACACCTTATTAAATACGCCTTGATCCCATATATTTATTTTGAAAATGAAATATTTTCAAATCCTCAAAACAAAATTTGAAAAACATGAATGATCATCGGGAACATATTTAATAAAGAACAATTTCAAATTGCATGCGTTCCCAATTTTCCTGTTTGGTGATTTTTAAAAACATAATTTGTCAAATTCATATTGACACTAGTATTACGTTGGAATCGAATCAGCTGGGGGTTGATGTTACTTTTTATATTTGTTCCATGATTTAAACCGTCTCTGGACGTATTTACCAGCATTTTGTCTTTATTTAATCTATTTACATATAGGGTAAAGATTGGAAACGAGGTGATTCCAATAAAATAGATTGGGGATATTCTTTTTTAAATGGCTTTCTTACATCAAATCTACCGCCCGGTCGACGGCACGTCTTTTTCTTGTAAAAGTTTTCGCAGTACTTAGAAAATAGGGTTCCCCGAATTTTCGTGATAATGCTTTTATGTCTTCTTCACCTTTCGAAGATTCTTTGACTGTGGCCAATGCTATATTTTCGTATGCTATTGGTTCATATATATACCAACTGTAAATTGAATTCTGTGCTATCATGTTACCTAGAATATGTTTCTTCATTCCATTTAGCATTATCGTTGGAAGAATATCGCTTTCTATCAACATATCTACATGCGCTGGTACCGCGGAAGAGATCTAGTTGGAAGTAGACTAATAAGATTTCGTAGTACTATTACTTCGCATACTAGGTTAAAACAAGTGTCATCTGTACATAGTGTAATGCAACAAGATTGGTTTGCATTGGTGACTATTGTGTCACTTAAACCACTAATGGTCGTAATACCTAAACGACTAACAATTTTATCTGTCACAAATGATCTTTTAGACGCCGAATCTAACAAAGACCGTAATGTGAACCTTCGCCGAGATAGTCATACTTCTGCCTATGTTATTCGTTTCCTGGGATGTTTTTAAAATGTATATAAACTATATACTAAAATTAGGAAAAAACATATATATAGTAAAATTTATTGTAAATGTAAAAAATAATTTTTCATTTTTTTTTTGGTGCAAATATTTTTTATAAAACTCGCTGCCAAAATATCCCAATAGACACATTTTTAATGCCGCACGATTGATGTAAACATACCATTAAACGAAATCATGTGTGAAGCAATCATGTTTCTTCCATCATTCTTTCCACCACCCGTTCTAAACAAAAACATATGTTTTTACTATTCCCTTTTAATTCGAAATTTTATTAGACATTTTCTTGTCTCCACCTGATTTTTTTGCAGATTTCAGATTTCTACTGGTAATAAATAAATAAAAATATTAAAATAATTATTAATAAAAATTATTTTGTATTAACAGGCAATTATAGTTTCAGTATTGTGTCTTTGATTATGTTATAACGGATAATTCGCCAGCGATTAATTAGTGTACACGTCACAGAGAGAACGAACTCGCGTCGCACCTTAAAAGCAAAAGCACCAACGCAACATGGGCAACGAAGGTAGCAAGGGCCTGGTAATTGACAAAAATGCTGTGGAGGCCAATGATTTTTGGGCTCTATATAATGCATCAACTGCACCCACAAACAATGGTGGTGTGGCGGGCAGTGAGGATGAAACGCGTTATCTCTCCGTGTTTCAAGGAGAGCCTGTGGTGACAGGGCAATTGTGGGTATCACAGGGTCCCATGGAGAGGGCCATAAAGGTATTTTTTTGGAAATGTTTTATAATGAAAAAATAAATTTTAAATTATTTTTATTTCTTTTTTTGTAGAATCAAATGATCTACAGACATCCGTATATTCTGAAATATGTCAGCAATTGGGAGCAGGGTGGCCAAAAGCACTTGGCCACCGAACGAGTACGTCCTTTGAATTCTGTTCTAAATCAACAATCTGATATACAAATATGTTTGGGCCTACGTACCATATTGTGCAGTTTAATATTTCTCGTCGAGAAGGCAATGGCCCGCCATTTGAATATATGCACAGATTCCATCTATGTCACCGACTCGGGCAGTTGGCGTTTAGCCGGCTTTGAGTATGTGTGGAAACAAAAGGAAGTTACTAAAACCCTACTGGACTATGCCAAGGCATATCGTTATCAAGCCGCCCTCGATCCTGATGAATCGAAGGAGGAAAATATGAATGCAATTGAACAATTTGCTTTCGCCACACTCTGTGAAGAGATTCTAACAAAACAGTTTGAAAGTCATAAATATTCAAATTCAACACCTATACCACACGTGCAAGACTTCAAAGATTATTGTGCTACCCATCTAAAACATAAAAATGTCCAAATGAGACCGAAATTATCGGCCGTCTTGTTGCATCCATATTTCAATCATGAATTCGTGCTAATTCATGCCTTCCTCTTTGAGCTGCCGTTAAAGAATAATAACGAGAAACAGGATTTCTTTACGGGGCTGATAGATCGTCTGCGCTATTTTGATGAGGAAATTGTGGGTGCTCAATTCGCTGGTGACCTCTTGTCACGCATGGTTTTGTTGGATACCACCGCCCAGCTGTGTGTTACACCCTATGTTTTGCGTACGAAAACCGATCATTCTTCGGCTTTATTCTCGGGCAGTACCTACTGTAAATATTTAATGCCACACATTTTGAAAATGTTCCGTTTGAAAGATGCCCAAATTCGTTTAATTCTACTGGAATATTTTATGGAATTTGTACGTCTGCTGAGTAAAGAAGATTTGGAGGTGAATATTTTACCACATCTGGTTGTGGGTATGCAAGACACTAATGATGTTTTGGTGGCTAAGACATTAAGATGTATGGCTGATTTGGTGCCAATACTGGGTGCCGCCGCCGTCTTGGGAAGTCAGAGGACACGTTTGTTTTCTGATGGCCGGCCACAGGCAGCAATATCAGCCTCTCATTGGGTTGAACCGCGTTCAATAACACCGGTACTAGGCGAGGGCGGTGACTGTCCAATTATGGTCTCAGGTAGTCCCATTCCTGATAATTGTAATTCGCTAAGTAAAAGCAATAGCTATTCATCGTTATCGCAAGCCGCCATATCGGATACTTATGAACATAATATGCCACCACGTCTAAGTCCAGATGGTGGTGAAGATGTTAAGTCGGCCATAATACAAGATAACAAAGAGTTGCAGGACGGTGATGATGATGACGAAGCTGATGTTAAAGTAGAAAAAGTTTCCAAAGAAGAGGAAAATACCAATTTCAGCAAAGATCCCAAAGTGCGCGAAGTAGAAAAGCAACATGCTGTCAATGAAAACCTCGATGCTGATGATGACGATGATGCCTGGTCTGATTGGGAAAATGACGAAGAAGTCGAACAAACCCTTACCAGTGGCATGGAAAACCAATTGGCAAACATTTCAACAAACAAATTACAACAACTATCCTCATCTGCAAATACAACATCTGCCTCATCGTCCTACAATACATTAACTTCCCAGACATCTTCAAGTAATTCATTTAAGACAACCCAATCAAATAATAATTCCTCCTCTACACATTCCTCTCTAGCGAAGGTGAACACCACATCTATTACCGATGATTTATCTTGCCTCGATATACAAGTACAAAAAACTCTGGCGACGGGCAATACAGAAAATTCGGAAGATTTTGATTTCTTCAAAGATATGGAACCCGTTATCATTGCAAGTCAAAAACCCCTACAAGCTGTTTCTCCGCCCACAACATACAAATGGTTAGAAGAAACGGAAGAAAATATTAAAGTTGACTCGTCGAGATTTGTTGCAACCGATGTGGGTGCAGGTAATGATGATGACAGTGGTTGGCAAATCGATGACGATGATGATGTCGATATTGAGGGCAGATTACATGATTTAGTTTCAACTAACAAGTCATCATCATCATCGGCAGCATCCTCATCGTGAATAGTTTAATCGTACATACATGCATACGTATATTGAATATAGCAACAAAAACAACATTCTTAAAACACAATGCTTAATGAGAGCAGAGATCTCATTTATCATATGTGTATGTATTTAATATTTTTAAAAATAATACTTATTTTTATTTTATAGTGTTAATTATTTTTAATTCATAAATTAATTTTTAAATGAAATTAAACGAAACAAAGAAGAAAAAGAAGCAAAAAAAAAACAAATGTGGCTTAGCATTAATTATTTTTTGTTAAACGTCGTATCATCAATGCAGGAACAAAACTTAAAACATATGCAATTTGTTTATAAAATAAATATAAATTTTATTTATTGTACCCCCAATACACACCCCTATTTTCTCTGTTGATCTGTAGCAATTACATACAACTGTTTTGTAAAACAATTTCATTAAATTTTAAGAAATCCATAAACAAGAAATATTAATATTGAGAAAAAACATATAAACTGATTTTTTAATTGATGCACGTTTTGGAATAGCCCCCGATATTTTTCAATTGGTCCCAAATATTATCAACATTGATCTATATTTTGCAGTAGATGGTTTGGACACTTTTTTCAACCAATTTATTATTTTGTCTTGCCATTGCGTAAAAATCTTCTTACCAAAAAATGATGAATATTGGCCCTCTCGTTTAGAATAGGCCCTTTATAACGGTACAACCATATATTCGGTATTTTTGGTCACGTTTACTACCAAATTTAGTATTTATTTTTGTTTATTAATCAATGATAAACAAAAATAAATACTAAATTTCGTAGTAAACGTGACCAAAAATACCGAATACATGGTTGTACCTTTATATAGGACCTATTCTAAACGAATAGGTCCTATATAACGGTACTAAATAATCTTCGTATTATATAGGAATATAATATCCTATAAAATCTTCGTACTAAAAGTTATTAATATTGGTCTACATTTTACGGCAAACTCCATGTACGGCAATCTCCAAATATCTGGTATTTTGGGAATGCTGTTTTTAGACCAAATGGGCTTTAATTTAGAATTTTGGATTCCAGAAAATCGAAAATTTTCTACCAAGAACAAATTTGTCTACAAAATCTTTTCAATATTTGTCTACTCCCCCATTATTTGGTATTTTGGGGACTTAATAAAATATTTTTTTTCTTCGTACTAAAAGTTATTAATATTGGTCTACATTTTACGGCAAACTCCATGTAAGGGAATCTCCAAATATCTGGTATTTTGGGAATGCTTTTCGACCAAATGGGCTTTAATTTAGAATTTTGGATTCGAGAAAATCCAAAATTTTCTACCAACAACAAATTTTTCTACAAAATCTTTTCAACATTTGTCTACTCCCCCATTATTTGGTATTTTGGGCACTTAATAAAATATTTTTTTTATTTCAAAATTTTCTTGTTTTAAAATTATCTACATATGTATAAAAAATCGCGCCCGAAGAAATGTTTTTATTTAAAAATTCAAATTTTTTTTTAAGAGTAAGAAATGTTGAAGGCGTGAAATTTTTAAGAAGAAGAAATGTTGAAATAAGAAAAGATGTTTGATAATTTTAGCGTGAATGGTCTATTAGTCTATCGAAAAACATTTTTTTAAAGTCATGCTTGTTTTTCTATTTCATTTCATTTATTTCATACATAGTAACGCATAAGCTAATAAAGCCAAACAATTTTATATTACAATGTACTAACTAACAATGTTGTAATATACAATAAAGAATTAAAAAAAAATATTTTATATATAATTATAAAAATGTTAATGCAATTTCCCTATAAAATTGGTTCCTCATGAAGTAAAATTAACAAAATAATATTAAAATAATAAAAAAGTACCAAGTATTTTATGATGGCACAACTAAAAGAGCAGAGTCTAGCCAATCACATTCGGTTCAGCGCGAATTCAGTATATCTGTTAATAAATATAAATATTTTTAATAAACGTTGCTTTATATATATATATATATCAAATGGTACACCCAGAAAAAGCACTGAATAAATTGAGACGGTGTCATGCCGATTCAACTTATAAACAAAACGCAATATCGGTAGTGTTGGCGGGTTATTTACCATACAATTTGTATTTTGTTTTTGAAAAATAGGCTTTATCCTATTTTGTTGTTTTTATAAAAAACAACTATTTATTAGTGGGGAATGTATGGCATTGTCCGCCGAGGGGTAAGGCAGGGAAGACTATAGTTTCGGATCTCACCACTGATCCTCATCAGTTCCCTTAGTTTTTTGTTGGGATATTCTCCCCAGAAGCTATTAATAGATTCTTTACAAAAAAAAAAAAAAAAAAAAACCTTTCAAACCCAAATGTCTCTTGTGACAATTCGAAGTTCTTACGTTACCATCGATACGACCCCAATGAGAAGTTCGTTTCGTTGGCGCCTGACTTCGTGGTCAACAAGGTATTTGCAGACAACTACAATACATTTCCCACTGCTATGTGTCGTCACTTTGTGACGAATGCACATAACGTTGTTGTTGGTATTGCTAGTTAAAGCAATAAACCAAACAGTATGACCGTGCCTCGTCTACAACTTCAGTAGTGTTGGCGGGTTATTTGGGATACCATTTGTATTTTGTTTTTGCAACATAGTCAGGCTTAATCCCAGTTTGTTGTTTTTATAAAAAACAACTATTTTTTAGTGGGGAATGTATGGCATTGTCTGCCGAGGGGTAAGGCAGTGCCATACATTCCCCACTAATAAGTAGTTGTTCTTTATAAAAACAACAAACTGGGATTAAGCCTGACTATTTTGCAAAAACAAAACGCAATATCATATTATACAACCTCTCAATTTTCCACAAATTTAAGCGACTGGTACCGGAAACAATTTCAATACAATAGTTTATGGAAGACATCAGCAGAGCAAAGGCAAGACGTTTGCGAATAAATTGAGGTAGATACAAATTGTTACAATAAAGCCTGCGCAAAGTGGACACTACACCCGAATAAAAAACTTGAATATGACTAGCGAAGCTAAGTCTATCATCTATGATACAGCCTAAACATTTCATTTCATCTACAAGGGCAATTCTAGTTCCATCCATGTAAATTTGAAAACTAGGAAATTAACTCCTCACTGGTTTAAATAACATAGATCTAGATTTGTCAACATTAACAGAAAAATTATTTAAAACAAGCCAATTGCTTATATCTGAAATGGTATTATTTACGTCAGATTCCAATTCAACAATACTGCTGTTTCTGAAAAACAAATGCATGTCACAGAATAAAAAAATGGAAAACAATTTTCACTAGCAATGCAACTTGACAAGTCATCCATATACAATATAAAAAAAGAGGGGACCCAAAACAGAACATTGGGGAACACCACTATTAATCATCCTTTCAACAGAAAAACTTCCATTAAATTGAACAAACTGAGAACGTTGCGATATATACAAAAAAATCAACGTACAAGCAGTGCCACTGAATATAAAATTATTTTTCAGCTTTCTCATAAAAAATAGTTAACTCTATCGAAAGTCTTAGATACATGGAGAGCTACTAATACACCGTAATTAGCACCATCTACAGCTTCCCTAATATTATCCGTAAGATGGAGCAAACATGTAGCAGTACTATGACCACGCCTAAAACCATATTGACAATTGGTCAACAACGTCCTAACATTAATGTACTCTTTAAAGACTATTTTTATAATCTCCACCATAATATGGAGGGTATATTATTTTTTTCGTTTGTAATTCATCATTTCCGACCCTATAATGTATATATTCTTAATCAGCGTAAAATTCTTTTCTGGTAGCCCCAATTTTCAATATTTGGAAAGTTTTGATCGCATTTTTTGACTGAGTTGGCTGTATTTTAGTACTTTGAGTTCTTATTGGGTAGCAAAGGGACCCACAGAAGTCGCGGATTTTTTAAAGAATATTTTCTCTACTCTAAGAGTGAACTCGACTAGAAATATGAATTTTATTTTTCCCGATTTGGGTGTTCGTTTGTGTTTCTAGAGTAGGAAACGGGTTTCGATGTTGTTGTACTGATCTGGCCATATACGATATTTACTTTATACTATAATAAAAGTAGTTTGATTATTTAATATTTGACAAGAGGTCAAAATAACCGGTTTTAGGCAATATAGGTATAGCACATGTGAATACGGGGAATGAAAGAGGGAAGGAAGAAGCTACTATGATTAATGACACAAAAAGTCACCAAATTTTAAAAAGCTGTGACATAATTTACACAATTGTTTTTGTACTTGAAATTGAAAAACGGTCAAAATGACGGTTTTCGGCAATCTAGTGTTAATTAAATTTTTGGAATCCCAACAAGCTTGGATTTTTTTAAATACATAGTTTCAAAAGACCATCAGACATTTCTGGGTAAGTAAAAAATGTTATTCTTTTAAATATATTCAACATTTCAATAGATCAACAAGCTTGTTTTTTCAAAAAAAAAAAAATAAATAAATAATAAAAAATTTTGTCTTTAAAAGATTTTAAAAAAAAATATATTCAAAATATCAATATTTTTCAAAAAATTAAAAAAAATATGTCTAAAAATTTTATTAAAAAATGTATTCAAAATATCAATACTTTTTCAAGAGCAAATAGCTTGGATTTTTTCAATTTTTTTAAACATTATCAAACATATATCTTCATATATATTTGATTTTTTTAAATGCAGATTATGAAAAAATCATTGATAAAAAAAATCAAGAGACAAATTTGTGGATTTTTTGTAGTTTTAACTTGTGTAGATAATTTTTTTTTTTTGAAATTTTTTTTTTTTTTTTTTTTGAAAAAAAATTTTTTTATTTATATTGATTTCAAAGATTAAAACAAATGTTTCTAAAAACGAAACGAAAATTATAAAAAATATATATATTTTTTGCAACTGGATATTTAACATTTTTTTCCAAAATAACAATAATCATGGAAATTTTTTATTAAGAGGGATTTTTTTAATGAAAAATATTTTGTCAAATCTCCAAAACTAAATTTTTTTA